CTTCAATGCTTTTGTATCAAGTGGGCTCGTGTCAAGCAAACAAAACACACACAGAGGCAGATTTGCCAGTTTCAGGATCCTGATCCAGCAAAAAAAGGCAAGCAAGTTTTCCCAGAAAATCTACTGACGCTGGAACTATGCCAGGCCCCAGGACACTTCCTCTCAATTGATGAGCGTCTCATAGCTGGTAGGATTCTGGACGTGATTGCATTATGTTCCATCATGAGGGATGACTAGGTATTAACTGTCAAACCACTGAGAATCCCGGCCCAGTCAAGTTTATGCCAAATCTTAACTCTCACAGGGGACAGCAACTTCACTCTGGGGTAGATTGATAGAGAGTTGAGTCAGTCTAGATATTTCCATTGCCTCCTGCTGTACAACAAGCCAGATCAAGCATTAATGGCTTATCATACAATCATTTCTTCTGTCTCGTGTTTCCATGGGTCGACCGGATGATTCTCGACTGGTTTTACTCAAACTTGCTTCTGGACTCAACTGGCCAGAGGGTCACCTGAGCTGGAATGTCCCAGCTGACTGTACTCCCAGCTCTGGCAGGGACCAGCGGCTGCGGTCTGCGGCCCCTTGGTTTCCCTCAAAGAGACCTGTCATCCTTCAGTAGGCTGGTCTGGCTTCTTTCGCTGGGAGTCTTAGAAGGGCTTTCCCAGAGAGTAAAAGCCTGCAAAGTCAGGTTCATTATTGCTCTGTCTCTGGGTAAGGGCCTCTTCTCACCCGTTGTGACTTGCTTCCAGCCTGACTTATGACTTTAGCATGATAACTTGAAGAGTCTTCATTGTAAGCCTCCAAAGACAGCGATTATGGAGATCTGATGGCACCGTGGGTTAGGCATTGGGCTGCTGACCAAAGGGTTTGCCATTCATGCCCACCAGCCATGCCAAGGGAGAAAGATGAGACTATCTTCAAAGATGGATAGTCCTAGGACACCATGACGCAGAAACAACTCGATGGCCATGGGCTGGGTTTCGTTTTTATCAATGTGGAAAGGTCTATGCATACCTACAGGGAGGTATAATTTGTGGGGCGAATTATTTTCTAACCATCTAGGACATAGGTTAGAAAAAAATTCATAAAAATTCATAACCAATGAGAAGATCCCTGGAAGTGGTTTGCAATCATCTACTAACTGTGCATTGAGTTATGAAATGCTCAGCTCAGGTCTGGCCCTTAAAGAGCACACAGGTTCAATGTTCTCTGTTGTTATTTGTTGACAGCTCTGTCACACTGGGTGACTTCCAATTCTGGCTTGGCATCTTCTAATTCAGAGGCAGTGTGAGAACAATACTTAGGTACCAGTGATAGCCCTTGGAAAGCCGAGGGAGCAGCACTCACAGAGGGCTGCTATGAGTCATGGTTAAGTTCAGAAGAGGCTGTTCGATGCTCAAAAAGGCAAATGTGCGTGTGAGCACACTTGGCTTTGAATGCTGCAGATTTGGGCTCGTTTGTAAGGCAATTGACCTGGAAGAACTTCACGCCATAAAAATAAACCCCGTTGTTTCCACCAGAGCAAATAGAGGCAGTGATGTCTAAGGGCTAGCAAGCCAGGGTTGCCTGTTAGAAGCTCTTGACTGAAGACTCAGCTCTCTCCTCTCACAATGAGGGAACTCGTGTATCTCTCTGAACGTCAGTGCCTGCGTTCACACAGTGGGTACAACAGGGGCCTCCTCACAGGGGCAAAACGATAGGATGTCCAACCCTTCACACACTGCTGGGTGCACATTGCTCAGGGAACACTCGTTTGACTAATTACGATGTAAAGATGATTTTAAGGGAGATTTTCTTGTTCTTCTTTTCTTCGGTTCTCTCTGCAAATGCCTTGTGCTCTTATTACAGATCCAGCCCTTCTGAAAGAGGCGCTTGGACTTGCCAGGCACCGCAGGACTGAATGCAGTATATCCTGCATTCTCATTTTCTGCCTGGCCCTTCCCCTATTTTCCCAAACTTTATATCATTTTTATGAGCATGTTCTCCATGGACCTTCACACGGCCCCTGTGGAAGCGGACTGAAAACATTTGGAATTACCTCCAGTGAGTTCCAGAAATCCATCCCCACGATGTCCGGTGGGTTCTGAGTCACAGGCACCTGAGGCCAGCGCCGGCCCGCCGCCCTGGCTGCGAGCGAGCGCTATAAATCTCGACAGGAGCAGATGGCTCTGCCCTTCTCCTGTGGAGCGGCTGATGGGCTTGACCCACCGACGTTAGCAGCCCAGTTTGTAATCCATGGCGGCCCCAAGGCTCTTAAGAAATCCATCAGCAGGGTCTGAGCCCCAATCCCTCCTCCGTCTTTTTCCATGGCTCCTCCTGCATCCTGAAGGTTTCAAGGTCTCCAGCGGTGTGAAGTCAGGTTTATAATTGCTCTGTGGCTGAGAAAGATTCTCCCCCCTCCTCCTGCACGCCCCCCTCCCACCACCAATACTTTGTGTCTCACTTCCAGTCTGATTTATAGCTTTACAGTGTTAGCCTGGAGAGTCTTACTTTCAAGCCTCTGTCATTAGCTGTTACATCCACATCGTGCCAGTAGAAAGCTGGTTGCCTTCCGTTTCGCTCCTCTGTCTTCTTGATCACTCGAGGTAGGAAAATAAGGCTCCCCCATTGCGGTGGGGGGTGGGGGCTATGGAGAAGCTCTTGTGTAATCTCTTCCAAGTTGCCATGACATCGGCCCATCTAGGGGCTGAAGTCAAAATTCTGGTCTTCAAGCCCGACCCGGTCTGGTCCCCCAAACTTCCCTCTGCCCTTCAGTTGCTGTCTCTTTCCATGCTGCCCCTGTATCTTCTAGTGGCCACTACCACATTCAGAATGCCGAGGCTAAGGTCAAGGAGCCCTGGTGGCATAGTGGTTAAGAATTGGGCTGTGATCTGAAAGGTCAGCAGTTCCAAACCACTCTCAGAAACTCACAGGGACAGTTCTACCCTGTCCTCGAGGGTCACTGTGCGTTGGCATTGACTCGATGGCAGGGTGTTTGAGTCTAGTGTCGGCCAATAACCTTGAACTCTTGTGGCTCACTAGTGGTGCAAACAGGTTATGCGTGCAGCTGGCAGTTTGATGCCACCAAGAAGTACCTGGGAAGTACCCCAAAGTACCCCAAACAGCCATTGAAAAAACCTTAGGAAGCACAGTTCTCCCGTAACACACGTGGGCTCACCCCGAGTCAGAGACAAGTTGCAATACACACGCACCTCCTGAACCTCAGTTCCTCTTACTTCTCCAGGTGAGCCCCCTGAGTTATCGTGTTCAGCCTCTTTCCTCGGAGTGATACAAATCGAGAATGGGGTCCCTGTCATTTGACTTCGCCAGAAGTCTGAGGCTGAGCTCCGCCGAGTGAGTGTCTCCGTGCACGCTGCCAGCTAGTTGAAATGGAAAGGCTCCAGAGTCCCCCCTGGTGGGTGCGAGCAGACCCCTGAATTCAGCGTGGCTCCCTGAGGGCAGGGTGTCAGGTGTCCTCTTGCTGTCTGCATCATGTGGGCTATTGTTCAGCGAGCAATGTGTTCTCCAGGCTCCTGGAAACACATTCCTGCCTCAGAGAACGGTTCTTTTTCTATGACAGGCTGTGGAAAGAGTCACAAGATGCCCAAGACTAGTGTCATCATCTTCAAGCTGTGGCATTACGTTCAGGGTACAGTCCCTGAAAAGAACCTTGATCCAGTAGAAGTTTATGATGCGATGTCTTCTGTTAAGGAAAAAAAAAAAAAAATCTGTGCCCATATGGTTTCCTTTGAATTGATGTCTCGCGGGAGTCCCTCAGTAGCTAGACCAAAGATCCGTGGTTCTGGTCCACGCCAAAGCACCGCAGAAGAAAGGCCTGGCCATCTCTTTGCAAGCTATCAGCCACTGAGAGCCTCTGGAGCACAGCCTTCCCCGGCACCCTTGGGATGGGTGTCAGTCTGAAGTGGCCTGCTGCCTGGGATGTGTGTGCAGCCGGGGGAGAAGCTGTGATTCGCTTCAGTGAGCGTAGGGGGGCTTCATCTCCTTCTGTTTTATGTCTCAACACTACGAAAGAGGAGGAGTGGGCTGCTCACGGAACGTTTTGAGGTTCAAATCCACCAGCTCCTCGGCAGAAAGCTGCAGCTGTCTGCTCCCCTAAGGATGTAGAGTCTCTGGAACCCTCTGTAGATTTGCGGGGGGTTAGAATCCACGCGATGGCAGTGGGCTTGGGTTCAGTGGATATAATAAGAAAAGAAAGTCCCTCCAATGGATGTTTAACGGTGGGAGAAAGAAAGGCGGGCCGGTGGCTGGTTGAGTGGTAAGACGTTTGGGAAAGGTGCCTCTCGGGTCGGGTGGCCCATCTCGGCCTGGGCCCCGCTCCTGGGGAGCCTGCTGGAGGCTCGCTCCCAAGGAGTGTAGACACCATCCTGCTGGGCCTGTTTCTCCCTGGCATCCTGTGGAAGCGGCCTGTGGAACCGATTCCAGTTCACTGCCGGCTGGAAAGGAGCCGGGGCGGCAGACCTTGTTGGGGCTCCTCTTGGGAAGGGAGCTCTGTGCCAGCTGAGGCTGGTGGCCCAGGACTCTGCCCCCGCTGTGCTGGGGCCCGGGGGAGTGTTCACGCCCACAGAGGGACAGAGATTCCTGAGTCAGCTCGGAGGGAAGACCATTCCCGGACCAGGGGCTCTGGGAGCCGGGAGCCACGGCATCACCGGGAGCCATCCTGAAAACCCTCCAGAACTTCTACTCCAGGGCGAATGGCGGCCCTAGGAAGGAGCAACTTGAGTCAGGGCCGGCTTCTTGCCACCCGAGAACCTATTTGGTATGAACGCGGATGAGCTCTGGCAGTAGCGCTGGCCCTGGGGCCTTCAGCCCTGCCCATTTATGACCCCCCCTCCCACCAGCACCTTGGGCTGGTGGGAAGACACAGGTCTTGGTGACGGATCCATCTTTGAAGCCATCGGTTCCTTGAGGCCGGATCTTTTCTGTGCTCTGGGCCCGGAAGACGAGAGTAATGAGTCACAGGAGAGGTAAGTCACCACAGGCTGTGTCTTGTCTTGCAGAGAAAGTCCACTCGTGTGACCAGGAGAGGCAAAGCGCTCTGGAGGAGGCCCGGCAGAACCCCCGTGAGGGCATTGTCATCCCCGAGTGTGCGCCTGGTGGCCTCTACAAGCCGGTGCAGTGCCACCAATCCACGGGCTATTGCTGGTGTGTGCTGGTGGACACGGGCCGGCCGCTGCCTGGGACCTCCACACGGTAAGGCCACCCGTGGCCCACCGATGCCTTGGACTGGCCACGGGGGCATGAGGAGCAACCTCCTGTTCTCGTGGCATCTCCCACCCTTAGGCCCTGGTTGGCTGGCAGTGGGGCCACTAAGAGAGCCACCTCTCTCTCCATCCATGAGCAGATGACGGGGGTCTAGGAGAAAGACCCTGGGATTGTGATTACAAGTCTCTCCCCTCCTCACTGAGCACCCTTGGGAAATACCTCCACCTCCGCTCTCGGATGAGTATCGCGACCCTGCCCACGTCACCAGGTTCTGTGGATCGGAGACGTGTCTGTATGCAGACACGGAATGACATGGTTATTAAGCCTGAGTGATTAAAGTAACGTTCCTGAGTGGGTCTGATGGGGTTGTGTGTTCCGGGATTGCCTGGGGGCTGCTGGACAGTGCCAGGGATCCTTTGCTGCCAGCCCCGGGACTCTAACACTTGGGGGTGACGTAGGCATGGGCACACTTCGTTCTATTGTTCAGTAACCTCTTCCCCACAGCGTGTTCTCACGTGGTGCCTCTATGTCACAGTGTGGTGATTCTCACAGTATTCTGAAAAAAAATTTTTTATTATGCCATTGCACACTTCATAGACTACAGTATTGTATAAGCCTAACTTTTCTATGAATCGGAAGACAAAATAAGATACAATGCATGTGACTTGCTATATTGAGGTGCTCTGGAACCAGATCTACATCTCCAAGCTGTGCCGGTAATTGTTGGACAGGAGGAGCTGGCTGGTGCGCATGGTCCATGTGCTTGGGCTGCTGACCAAAAGGTTGGAGTGTCAACTGGGAGCAGAGTTCTGCAAACTAATTTCAAAAACTCGGCCAACCCAACCGGGACACACATGGGGTCGCCATGTGTTTGGAATGGTCTCAGTGGCCCCCCACCCCTGATCTCTCTCTCTTCCCAGCTATGTGATGCCCAGCTGTGAGAGTGACGCCAGGGCCAAGGGTGCAGAGGTGGAGGACCCCTTCAAGGCCAGGGAGCTTCCAGGTGGGAGACAGCGCTGCCCTGAGCGCCCGCCCTCCCCTGCCCCCTCCATCCCCTCGCCCTCCAGAAGCAGCGGCCTCCTCTGGGTCTGTGGTGCTCTCTGTAGGAAGGACTGCAGGGCACCGCGGGCCTGGGGGCTAGGCGCCATGGGATCTGCATTCCGGGCTCGCATTGGTCCTTAATTAATCATGTGCCCTTAGCACATTGCTTCCCATCCGGGCCCTGCCGTCTTTCTCTTGAAATAGAGTCTCCAGGTTAAAGGGCTCGCCTTAAAATCAACCATTCTTTGCCTGTCCTCAGGAGATGGGTACAATGGTTAGGGTGCCATGACTTATTCTTTTCCAGGGCTGTGAAGACAAGGTGGCTTACAGCAGAGGGGTCAGTCAGCCTGCCCTGCCAAGGGCTCTTGCAATGAGGCCTGGCGGCATGGGAAGGTGTCAGACACTGGGGGTGTCTGACACCAGAGTTACAGGCAGGGACTCCAGAACCGGCTTCGTAACCATCTCCGCCTTCAGGTTATAATACACTTGCTAAATGCTGGGGTCCAGAGCACTGAAGGGTTAGTCACCACTCAGCACCAACTCCTGCCGCTCCCGTGACCCGAAGGGAGAAGAAGGGAGAAGAGGATCATGGAACGCAGAGGGCTGGCGCAGGAGGCTTTTAGAAATCCCCCGGTGGCAAGGACAGAGTCAGTCGTGGAGACCAGGGCACCTCGTCCTAGCTGTTCCCTGTGAAATGCAAATTGAGCTCCTGCTGCATGCACACGTGCTGAACCAGGCGCTGGAGCTGATCCAGCAATCAACACTCACAGGAAGCTTACGTCGTGGGGGGAGAAGGCAGGGAGAGCCTATTGTAGATTTGATGGTATCTCTCTCTCTCTCTTTTTTAAAATAAATAATTTTATTGGGGCTCATACAGCTTTTATCACAAAACGCACATACATACATCGTGTCAAGCACATTTGTACATTTGTTGCCATCATCATTTTCAAAACAGTTTCTTTCTACTTGAGCCCTTGGTATCAGCTTCTCATTTGTTCCCCTCCCTCCCTCACAAACCATTGATAATTTTAAAATTGTTATTATTGTTTTATGTCTTACACTGACCGGTGTCTCCCTTCACCCACTTTTCTGTTGTCTGTCCCCCAGTGAAGGGGTTATATGTAGATCATTGTGATTGGTTCCCCCTTTTGTCCCCCAACCTTACCCTTACCCTCCTGGTATTGCTACTCTCCTTATTGGTCCTGAGGGGTTTATCTGTCCTGGATTCCCTGTGTTTCGAGCTCTTATCTGCACCAGCGTACATGCTCTGGTCTAGCCAGATTTGTAAGGTAGAATTGGGGTCATGATAGTTGGGCGGAGTGCGGGGTATGGGGAGCATTAAATAGCTAGAGGAACGTTGTATGTTTCTTGATGGTGTCTCTTGATGATCATGTTTACCCTGATACCTGAGGCACTTGGGGAAAGAACAGAATGGAATAGCATGTGAGAGCAGTACAGGGGAGAGGCCGTGATTATAACTGAAGGCCAAACGAGGCAAGTGGGAAAGGACGAGGTTCTTGAATACATCCAGTGGGAAGTCTACTTGAAGTCAGTCGGCTGGCCATTCGGGCACTCTTCCTCCGACACCATGCATGTGGCCCCTGAAGTCACTGCCGTGTGGCCACCTGGCCCTCTAGAGTTCCCCAGTAGATTGTGAGCCTCATGAGGACAAGAACCAACACTATGCTTAGCTCACTATTGTCCCCCTAGGCTTTCACGTGGAGCCAGGGTTGGCATGGCAGGTTAAGTGGTGGGCTGATCACCAAAAGGTTGGTGGTTCAAACCTGGAGTCTGCCTCCATAAGATTGAACGCCTCAGAAACTCCGGGGAGCAGCTCTGTGCTGCCCCTTAGGGCCACTAGGACTTGGAATCTGCTAGATGACCCTGAGCTTGGCGTGTTCGGTTTTGAGTTGGTTCTCCGTTAAAGTTTGTGGAATGGAGAATACTGTGAAAGCCTTTTTATGCACTTGGTCCATGACCCCTCGGTTCTGCGTAGACTAAGAGGAGAGGCACCGTGAAGGCTTGGGAGCTCACCCAAACAGGACACACACCCCAGAGTGGATCTGGGTTGGAGGAAGGGTGGTGGTGAGGGAAGTGGTTTTCTTTATTTCCCTGGCATCTGCCTTCAAGTCTCACTCTAACCTTTCAGGCTGCCCAGAAGGGAAGAAAATAGAGTTCATCACCAGCCTACTGGATGCGCTCACCACGGACATGGTTCAGGCCATTAACTCAGCAGCGCCCACTGGAGGTGGAAGGTGAGAATGTGGGCAAGCCTCAGGCCCAGCAAGGAACACGGGGCTCTTGGCTCTTTGGAGAGTCCGGTGCGGGGTGCAAGCCACTCCTCTGCGAACCGAAAGATCGAGGGCTTGAGCCCATCTGAGGGGCCTCCGGAGAAAGGCTTGTTGACCTGCTTCCAAAGTATCCATCATGGAAAAGTGTGACGGAGCACAGTTCTACCCTGATCCACATGGCAACTGGGTTTGAACTTTTCCGACGCTGAAGGAGCCTGGGAGGATGGGGAGGCAGTTGGGCAAGGCAAGAGCAGCGAGTGGTGGTCCTCATCCTGGTCCCTCCTACCGCACACTGTCCTGCCCCTCTGCCTGCATCGCCCTCCCCAGTCTTCGGAAGCTGCTCGTGTCTAGCCGTTAGGTTGCTGACTTTATAGGCAGACCCAGGGTGCCCACAGAGTGCTTGCTGGCCCCTAATCTCTGGACGGCATGCCTTAGATTAGAGTGAGAGTCCCGAGGGAGGGAGGCGTGCTGCAGGGGACAGAGATGGGTGGCCAC